AGTAGTAGGTGGTAGTAGTAGGTGGTAGTAGTAGGTGGTAGTAGTAGGTAGTAGTAGGTAGTAGTAGGTAGTAGTAGGCAGTAGTAGATAGTAGTAGGTAGTAGTAGGTAGTAGTAGGTAGTAGGTAGGTAGTAGTAGGTAGTTAGTAGTAGGTAGTTAGTAGTTAGTAGTTAGTAGTTGTAGTAGTAGTAGTCGTCGTCGTCGTCGTAGTCGTAGTAGTCGTAGTCGTAGTCGTAGTCGTAGTCGTCGTGGTGGTAGTAGTAGTAGTAATAGTAGTAGTGGTAGTAGTAGTAGTAGTGGTGGTGGTGGTGGTGACCGAATTGCACATGGTCCACCCCTTTTGTTTAGTCTGCGATTGAAAGCACAGACGGACAGCTCTTTTGCATGTTTCAGACTTTCAAAAACAGTTTATTTTGTTGCCCATGTGGCAGTTTTTGTGGAATTCACATTGAGGTGGGGACGTGTCCCTGTTCAATGCTTTCCACTCTCCACCACTTGGGTCCCGTGGGCACCGGGTCATCCAGCACAACTGCGGCTCCAAGATGTCCAAGAAGGTCACTTGTGTCACCCAGGTCGTCAAGCCGTGCACAGAACTAAAGGTTCCAACAAGCCGGGTTCCATTGACAGATTTCGTAGTAGGCCGGCAATCGGGGATCATTGCTATGTCCAGATTTTGCAGTGCAGAAACAAACTCGGGGTGAGGGCACAGCAGACAAAATGCACAGACACACCAACCTCTTTGAAATCCTTGTGGGGACCCTAGCAACCCAAGCAGCCGAACCCAAACATTTCACACAACCCGTAAATTAGAGTTGACCGTGATATTGGAGAGCATCAGCATACATCAACATCTAAAAGGTTGCCGATGTTTCGTTTTCCTGGCCCTCCAGGAGCTAGGACTTCACTCGACCGTTGTTTTTGCCACGATACCTTGAACTCGCCACCTTGAACTCGGACAGGTCAGAGAAGGCCAAAAAGAATGAACGGAAATTTATGGAGGAGGAAGAATTGAGGATGCAGAAAGTGGAGGGCATCCCTAGGCCTGGTGGTGTTTGCTTTCACAATTAGGTTTTCCCAACACTCTCTGGGGGGGGAGGGGGAGGTGCGAGCACCCTTTCTCCAGTGCATAATGATAAATATATGATATATATATATTGTTATGTTTCACAGCTGAGGCACGGAATCCATCATGAATCACGAGGCTGTTGCTGGGTGCACAGGTCCATCACGAATCATCGTCAGGTCACAGGTCATCCTGAGCGGGCCGGTTCATTGTGCAGGCTGCAGAAGTCTTTGATCCAAGCCTGTGGCGGCAGAAAGAGTGTCATTGAGTTGCTGGGAGGCAAATGGAGGCCATACATGCCTGCCGTGAGGAGCAGAAATGCAAGGCCAACACACCTCTTATTGTGATGTATGGTATGTAGCAGTAGCATATTTGAATCCATGATGAGAGTACAACACAACTATATATCGTATGCACATATACAGAATATTTCAGTTTATCATGTGGTGATTAATGGCTGCTGGGACTCCGGGAGAGTCAAGACCCTCAAATCAATTTTGTCAGGTTCAAACATGTTCTGCATGAAGCTAGATGTGGTGAATCAGTGACAATTCCAGCAGTTGTACCCCTAACAGCCACTGAATATGAATTCAGCGCAATATGATGGAAGTGTTTGATTGAGTGTGTTGGTCTTCTTGCGATGTAGCTGCCTTCGCAGGCATCCCTAGTCCTGCCTCTCAACCTTGTTGGCCCCCAAGGTTCCCAATTTCGCTGGAGCCCGAAAGCGAATGAGAAGCCAAAGCTTGGTTTACCCGGGTTCCCAGCAACTGAGAGCTCAGAAACTGCATTTGTCGAGGGTGCGAAAGATTTTGAAAGTAGAACAAATAATAGCAACTGAGCATTCGTGAGAATTACATTGTCCAAGAGTTTGACCAGTACTCAGTACTGACTTGCAGGTGCTAGTCGTTTAATTTGTATACACATCATCCGGTGCAAACAGGCATTTCATGAGTGTTGTAGCACCTTCACAAAGCAGCACCTTGACAAATCATGACTTGAAGCGTCGCAAGGCTTGAGGATGTTTGCCACAGTCTTTGCCATTTTTTGCTCCAACAGCTTTGACTCTGACAAGGGCTGCTGAACCTGTTCTGAGAGACTGACACTGCTCGATCTTCTGAATGCAACACATGGTTGAACTTTGTAATGTATTGTTGACAAATTCTTGATAGCACTGTTTTTGAAAAATGGTCCATCAGGGATTCGCCACCGGGTTATAAGTCGGGTAGGGGTCACTATTCTTGCTTGTTTATTTTTCAAACATCGTTTTTGTTCAGGAGTTGTCGTTTTGCGTGTTTCTCAGATTCTTCCAGACATTTGCGTGAAGAACCCTTGATAGTTGAGATAGGGAAGTCACTGTTTGGAAGTTCCGGAAGGTCTTACTGTTCCATGCCATTTTATGACAACCTAGAACATATGACATCACAACATGGTGTTGTCGCTCAACTGGAGCCATTGAATGCTGTGCTGATTCCCTGCAGATCTCACAACCCTGTATGGTAGCTCATACCTGTCATGTAAAGTGACTGCAAGTTTCAGCTACACTGTAGAGATTGCCGTTCGAGATTCCTGTAGAGATCGCCGCAGCCAATGTTTGAGTCAAAGCTTAGGTTCGATTGTTGCCTGTAAACGCGAGTGCACGAGTGGCTCACTCGAGTCCAAGACTCGGCAAAGTCGCTCACATTGTTCTTGAAGGCAGCTTTCGGCCCCCCCACTGATGATCCATGCCCCACTGATGATCCATTTGGAAGACGTTCAAGCAAATCAAAGGCAGGTTGTTTGTTTCATGTGCCAATGTCGATTCCGCGGGCATGACTGATTGAGTGTCACATGCTTTGGCAGGCATCAGTGTTCGTGTAAGTGGCTTAAATTTCCAAGCGGTCGTGAGAGGCGGATCGCCACTGTATGCTCCGCGACACTGAGGAAGCCGCCGAACAGGATCCTGGCAACACATGAAGCCCAAAGCTGTATCAATGATTTCCACTTCCACTAGTAGGCTTTAGTTATTTTAGCCAGCCCTGTTTCCCTTTCTCAAAATTGATGGGAGTGTAGTGGTACAACTCCGCGGGGTATTGTTTTCGTCCAGGATCGTAGATTCCTTTGCTGCCCGGAGCAGCCGAAGAAGGGCGAAGGAACCGGAGCAGTATGCGTAGTGGCTCGCCTCATCAGATCACCGGAGCCGTACCAGCATTTGCAAGAAGAAAACATTATTTATCATGATTTGTCATCGGATCTTGGTTGTTATATATATATATAATATATTGTTGTTTGTTATGTCTTTAAAGGGTGCATAAGGATGCTGAAGATTCTGCGCACTCTTCAATCTACTTTTTGTTCTTAAGGCATTATCATGATTTTCCTCTTGGATGGGCTTTTTTGATGCACATCTCCACCAGACATGCTTGACTTTTCACTGCGAAAAAGAGCGCAGCCGTCAGATGGTCTTCCCCAGTAGCGGCGAACGTCCACTGCAGGCGTTGGACATCGGCCAAGTAGAGTCAGACCCTGGGGGGCGAAGACCCTGCGACCCCGGTTCTTACGCATCGCTGTACCGGCTAAACACCATTAACCAACCGTTCCTTGGAAAGCTATCGGATGCTATCAGCATATGCACAGATCTGTAATGTGCATAAATATATACACCTCCAATATGCAAAGGCGGCCTCGGACCACTTGTCGGCAAGGTATGCAAAGTTTGCAACAACACAAACATGGATTGCCAGGGTTGACAATGCAGTGAATGCTCCCCACGTGGCCGCTTGTAGTCAGTTTCAGAGGGGTGTCGTGGAATGTATTTGCCAGAATGTTTTCAGCCTCCGGGATTGAGGTCAAGGAGTCTTGTCCTTACAGGCCTGGCGGTGTTTGGAGGTCATTGTGGAGGACTCGATGGGCTCGCATGAACCAAAAGCCCGGTTATTCGATGTGTGTGTGTTTTTGAGGGACTTTCCCGGAAGCAGGAATGCAATCTGGAGCTTTACACCCATGTGAAGAGCATTGATCATTGAAGAGCACTAAAATCAGGACACCGTGATATCCTTGTGAAGGAGAATTGGCAATTGGTCGAACCGATGCGAGTCTGAGCTCTTTTGTTAATTTGCTGATGTGTTGGGGCGTCGACTGGTGCACAGAGTGAACTGACTCCACAATCAGGGTGGTGGCAGTGGTTTCAGAATACGTAGGCTCCACAAGCCCCAACAAAGGATAACGTAGGTGGATTCACATCTAGATCCGTCTAAGTACATGACAGTTTGTTTCAAGTAACAGCTATTCAATATACCTGTTCAAACTAGATGATGCAACAAACATGTAACATGTGGATTTCTGATGGGCCCTCCTGTCGTAAATTTTCCAGGGTAGGGGTCGCCCACAGGAATAATTTTTTCAGATTTTCCTTTTAAGGAATATTAAAACCATCATGTTGAAGTTTTAAACAAACATGTTGAAGTTGAGGTGGGTGGATGGTACCCTGGAATAATATGGTCGGAATGGACTTTCAAGGCGTGATAAAGGAATGATGTCATAACTTCAATAAGCCACATCACATGCTCGCATTTGCAGCTGGCTCAAGATCCAAAAACGATCACAATCATGGGGGAACAGGAAAGGTGTCACAAGGATCCTTATGACGCCATTCGTTCTTAAACCTTCAACCTCTCTTGCCAGAAAAGAGAGCTGTCAGATCTGTGGAACTGCGAAAAAACGTGGGGGCCTGCTGATCTGAAAAGTTCAGCCGTTTTGCCGCGTGTTGGATGACTTGATGCGACCGGAAATGAGGAGGAATCAAAGCGCAGAAGATCACTGTAGTGAAACTGAGCCTGTGCTGTGGAACGCGTGTAAGATCACTTATAGACTGCAAGGCAGACATGGCTGCAAAATGCTGTAAACTATTCGTGAAAGGTGTTCACATATGGATTAATTTTTGGCCTGGTGTAGGTCCACCACCACTGAATAATTAAAATACTATTCTGGGGGCCAGATTCTGTGCATCCCCACGCCATCCCATGCCCATCTCAACGTGGTTATTTGGTCTAATAACTTATTGCTCCTAAGCCACTGTCCTGAGTCCTACCGCATCCTATGCCAAGGCGGCCAAAGATCATGCCGTCAAGAAGAGGCCGATGCGGAGGGATTGCCAGGTCAGTTGCGGAAGATCTGCCATGACAGATGACATACTGTACATCAGGAAGGGGGAGGGCAGTGTAGGGGGTTGGTGTAGGGGAATTTGTTGCTTGCGGCTGCTTGGGGTCCTCCTTAACTATTTGTTTGTGCGTGATGGTTGAACCATATATACTTGGTGCCGGGTGATGCATTCGGCACCGTCCGGCGGTGGGGAACTCCTTAGTGCTCCCATAGTTCCAACAAGCATCCCACTACCACCACAACAACAACAATTGGAGAGCTCCCTAGAAGGATCCACATTCGCTTTTGGTTTCCAACCATCACTGCCCGATACTGTGAAGAACCTCTTGGAATGTTTTTGCTCAGGTACCGGGTATGGAGAAAGCCTCATTTGCGCCAGATAGCAGCCCCCCGACGGAACAAAAACAAAGTCACCATTTTCAAGAGAAGCATCAGGAGACGCATTTTGGCACCCTCCTTTACCCCTGTGTTGTTGTCCCCAACTTTGCCCCAATCAACAGGTACAAACCAAATGCACCGTGACTGAAGCAGAGGATTCTTGAAGTTTCTACCGTTTGATGGCTGGACAGCATGTTTTGTTGTTGCAACCAGCAGCGCCCAGTGAGGACAAGTAATTGCAACTATATAAGATCATGCAATATCAACTCGTTGTCAATTTTTTACAACCTTGCTTGAAATGCGTCCGTACCACGAATAGGTGGAGAACATTTATACATAAGACCGTTGTTTGCGAAAAATGTTTCCTCTCCAGTGGCCTTTGAAGGTTGGAAGCGGATTTGGTGCGGTGCCTGAGGTTCGCCAGTGGTGGAGGGTTGGTGCTGCAAACTGCGGGGATCGCCTCCTCCGGCGCCGGATGTAGCTGGGTCCATGGGTCCGAGGAATGACCGAGTATGCGGGGTCCCAAGTATGCAGGACTGATCCACCTGACTGGCAGGATGTTTAGAAGCTTTGTTTGATCAATCCGATTGGATTTTCACGTGGCATCATGTGACCGCCTGTAAATTGACTATGTATATCTATGTATAAAAAAGTTTGCAGAAACTGATTCCTGACCCTTGATACAGGAAACTTTGCCCGCACCCGTGTGACCCTGGAATCGGTATATATATATATATATATAGCCGTTTGCAAGGGAACTCTTTATGAAGCATCTTCAACATGTCCCAAGCAGTCCATATATACATCCAGAGTTTCCAACTACGTTGGTAACGCTAGGATCTGAGAAGGTACAAAATGCATAGCGACATATAGCGACTATGTTTAAAACCCAGTAGCTACGTAATGCAACCATCGCGACCATCTCGAATAAAGTAATTACGCTACTTACTGTACCCTGGTTAAACTTAGTACGCATTTGTGCCGGAGTTTGCTCTAGTAGTTGAAGATTGAAGATGAGGGAACACATATATATATATATATGCAATGTATTACTGTGTGCTTTTGTTCTTCAAAGCTGCTACCTCTATGAATGTGCACCTCTCTCTTTGTTTATAATATATAATATAATATGTGTGTTATCCCCTCATGTCCTTCCAAGATGAGTAAGTCATGGATAGGTTTGGTCCAGTCTCCATTGGCTCTGCCAGAACGGTGTGCCAGCGTTGTGAAATACGTAAAGTAAAGCATTTCCACAATACCCGTACCCACATGAATGCCCCCTTGCAGAGACAGCTGG